TGATTGATGGCCCGAAAAATATTGGAAAAATATTATAATAGGGGGTCCCCAATATAGGGTGAACCAAAATGGCCAGAGCTCATAAAGTTTAATGATGCTTCAAAAATCTAATCAAATTAATTCCCCAGGGGTATTGAACCCAAATAATGTATAGAAAATAAGAAGATAACCCCCATAGGGATGTACAAAAGATAAAATTGGGTGCAGGTTTGTCAGGTGGAAGCCCAACCTCCTTAACCACCTGCTGTCCGGCTGTTGTAATTAAACGGCTGGACAGCGGCTTCTTGAATGCAGGTGGGCGTTTTTAGATGTCCCATCCCGTCCCGCTCGTGCCCACCGCTATGCCTATTGCCTACTGCAATGTAAACAGCCGGCGATGGCTGTTAACATACAAGCGTTCGGGCATCGGTAGAGACGCCCGATCGCTTGTAATATGGGTGCGGGTGTGCGCCCCTCCGCCGCAGCCGCTGCTGGCGATCCCGAGCTCCTCTCTACCCGGTGTGAGCCCTGGACCAGCACAGCAGCTCTGCGGCCGGAGATCAAACGGAGCTCAGTACACAAGCTCCATTTGATCTCCTCCTCCTCTTCGGAATGCAGGTAGTGATGTGTATTACATCACTTCCTGCATTCAGTGTCACTCTCCGGTACAGAAACCAGAGAGAAGCTGATGAACCAGGTCTCTGCTTCATCAGCTTCTCTGGGGGTCCCTAGGTGACATTAGGGGTCATAAAGACCCCTGATGTCTCCATAAAGAGGACCTGTCACTGAAAATTGGCTATCACAAAGGGGGCATGTTAGTCCCCTATGTGAAAGCAATAAATATAAGTGGGGGAAAAATGTTTAAAAGAATTAGTTACAAAAAAAATATAAAAAAATTAAAAGTCACATATAAAGGTAATAAAAAAAGTAAAATTTTTTTAAAGTCCCCTGCCCCCCACATACACATGCAAACATGCGTTGAGTGCGTAAACGACGATTGCATCCATTATGCCACACATATCGCCGCGAACGTCGCAGTGAGAGCAATAATTCTAGGCCCATCAATCACTGATAAAACTAACCTGATGAGCAGTAAAAACTTTTAAAGTGTCGCCTATGGCTAATTTTGGGTATGGTAGTTTTTGCAAGTTCGCGGGTGCGCGCAATTTTAAAGCATGACATGTTTGGTGTCTATTTACCTGACGTGACCCCGACTTTTATATTTTACCAAAAATTTGGGTAATAATAACTAGGGATGCACCGATATATCGGCCGAAAATGGCACTTTTGGCATAATTCTTGTGCGTTCCTGTGCCTTTAAGGAGGTTGGGCTTCCTCCTGACAAACCTGCACCCAATTTTATCTTTTGCCCCATGTGCTCCAAGATGGAGACTCTCATAGGTTAGAGTTAGGACCGCACTATATGGAGGTGGCTTGGCGCGGCTGTGCGGCTTTCACATATTCTGCAGAAGACGTGTATCCAAACCTCTGCTTTTATCCTTAGCGGTCTCCAGGAAAAATTGTTTTTTTGCATGCTGGCTGGTGAGTGTGCTGGGAAACTTTTTGCTGTTGTACTGTATAAAGCCCTTCTATGTGCACCTTGCTGTAAAGCTGGTGACGAATTGATGAGTGCGTTTGCCATTTGTTTTGCTTGTCGCATTTACTGTACGGTCGCACAACTTTTGTATTACAAGCACGTTAGAAAAAAATTTACGATTTTCGACGGGTTGGTAGCGCGATCGCAAGACAAAAGCCACACGGTCTGAGGTGCGCAAGTGCACACTGCCCGCTCACCATTGCAATCATCTGCAAGCCCTCCCCTCAGCGGGGCTGTCCAAGATGGGCGATCTGCCTGTCCAAGATGGGCAGGTCATACGGAATTTTTATCACCTTACAACCATCGCACAACGAAAGATGGTTGTAAGGTGTATGGACAGCTTTAGTGTGACGTCACTATTAGTGTTATAAGATTACCTTTTCTACAGCTTGTATATCAAGTATATCATGAGTGCTTTTCACTCACCTCAACGTTCTAGCCGACCTGTGACAATGAGACTGTCACAGGTCGGCTCAGTAGATCGGGAAGTGAGCGAACACATACCGGCATTCGCTCACCTCTCGATCCTGTCACAGCTCTCTGCCGTGACAGGGGAGGGGCTGGTTTCCCCCCTATATAATGAGCTGTAGCTCGCAGTATACTGAGCTTAGGGTGACGGGAGGATGCTAGTTTGTGTCCTACAGTTACCCTAAGGAGAACTATGGGGAAAAGCCTTAACCCCATAGTTCTCCTTTAACAGACTTTTGGCAGAGATCTATATAATGAATAGGTCAACCAACAATTCATCTTACCTAAGTAGTCGTCGAACGAGAACTTGTCATTGTCCCATATTTGTATCAGAAGGTTTGGAGGAATCTTATTTTCGCTTTTGTCCAAACTCCAGAAATGTTCCTACAGGAGATGAAAGGAGGAAGATATGTGAATATGTTTAATAAGCTATGGCAACAGGTGATATTTACATAGAGGGAGGCGGGGACTTAACTATATATTCATATGACGTATAGCTGGTTTTAAAAAATGACTGCTTGGCAAGTATAACCCAATCATTGCTTTATGAATTCAGTCAGTCTGGAATTGAAGCGCCACATCGTGATATTCAAATCCAGGAAGTATTTTTCCAATGACAAACTGTTTACAAAGCCAATCCGTTTCAGGAGCTGTAATTTCCATGGGAATATGGAGTTGCCCCCTCCCTTCTATGGGCCTCTACTCTTCTATGAAGGCTATTCCTAGGATTTTGGAATGTGTCTGTGGGTATTTGTTTCCATGCAAAGGAGCATCAAAGGAAGAAAATACTGGGTTTACAATTGGCGATCCAGTGTATCCCAATGGTGATCAGTTGGGTTGAGGTCAGGACTCTGCAGAGACCACTTCATGATTTCGGAATGTGCCTGTGGGTATTTGTGTCCATGTAAAGGAGCACCGGGTACTAATATAGGAAGAAAATATTGGGTTTCAATTGGCGATCCAGTTTATCCCAATGGTGATCAGTTGGGTTGAGGTCAAGGCTCTGCAGAGACCACTTCAGGATTTCGGAATGTGCCTGTGGGTATTTGTGTCCATGCAAAGGAGCACCAGGTACTAATATAGGAAGAAAATACTGGGTCAGGGCTCTGCAGAGACCACGTCAGTTCCTCCACACCTTCTCATATCAGAAGCTGGCTATGTGCTCCTGAACTCAATTATTTGAATAAATGTCCACATAGTTTTATAGTGCATTTTATGCTTCATTTGACACCTGTATGTTGTACGTCGACTAGTAATGTGATAGGGATTACTTAGAGTATGGTATTTCCACACCAGTATATTGTCATTGGTATCTAACAGCATGGGTTTGTTCTTGTGTATGAACTTTCCAGCACAAACCATCCATAGTGAGAATGGAAATCCTAAGCCAGGGCAGATCACCAATACAAAGAAGGGATGTTCTAGAATTGGAAAGAGTCCACCAACGGGCAACAAAATTAGGGGCTAGAGGACCTCAGCTATGACAAACGATTGAAGACAATTAAACGTATGTATCCTAGAGAAGAGGCACTGAAGGTAAGACATGATAGCTAACTTTAAATTAATCAATGGCGATTGTCTTGCAGGTAACAACTTGTCAAATCTTATGGCCCTGGTGAGGACGTCTGCCCACTATTTAAGGTTGGTGGAAAGGAGGTTTAATCTGAAGAGAGTACATCAAGGCCAGAGCAGCAGAAATGTGGAACGCCCTTCACTAATTAGAGGTATCAGCTGGGAGTGCTGACAAATCCAAAAACTTCCAGATGCCTTCCTCACTAACAACACGCAAGAAAATGTAAGCAAACCAACACACACACACGTAGGACTGGAACAATAATAAAAATTGGCTAGCAATAGCTGCTAAGTGATGGTTTTCTTATTGACCAGAAGTGGATGCCAGGGTTGGCTGCCAACTGCTCTCAGACAGCGCGCCTTTTGTAATGTTGGTGCTAGGTATAATTGTTTTTTCCATTGCTTAATCAATATTATATAAAATATATAACATTGAGATTTTACTAACTTTCGTTGAGTACAACTTTGTGACAATTTAAGCAAAGTAAACTTATTTTTTGACAGTCATGTTGTCTTTTGAGTTACAGTTCTTCATAATATTAAGAAACTGACCTAAAATCATTATTTTGTATTGCTTTGGAAAAAATGTGATCTGCCCCTTTAAGAAAAAGTATCGGTAATTGGTATCGGCGAGTACTTAAAAAAAGTATCGGTACTCGTACTCAGACCCAAAAAAGTGGTATCGGTGCATCCCTAGTTGGTGCTTTCGTGCCGCTCTTACCTTCTTGGACACTGAGCAGACCTGCTCGGCGGGGAGATAGTCGAAGGGGAAGACAAACCTCCAGTTGAAGTTGCCTTCACCACCCATAGATCTGTAGTGCACATCTGTTTTCTGTTTATGCTCCTCGTGGCCGATCATCCAGCTGAGGGAGGGAAGGAGAATCCGAGACGGTTAGCTGGGGAGGAAGTCTGTTCAACTACTACAACATGTCACTGCAATAAAGACTTGGCTTTTCTGTACGCCTGTCAGCTTCAGAAAGGGTAGCACCTACGTGGGGGAAGATGTGTATATAACACTGCCTGGCTTTATATAAACCAGTTCAATATGTTTCAAAGCCACTCGGAATACTTGTGGCTGGACAGGAGGGGTATTGTGGAGCTGAACCGACCGAAAGCTTCGTTATTTTTCATTTGTGATTTATATAGTGCCGTTTTCTAATTGTATTACTTAGATGACAAACATAAGGACTATATAGATAAGACAAATATATAATATATTACCCCTTATAAGTGCATACACTTGTATAATAAGTCATGAACAACATTAACAAGATAAATACTAGAGAGAGACTTGCCCATAGCAGCCCTAGAGAATGAAAATAGAAACATAAGAGGCAAGGTATTGGTGGTATATAAGGTGGCAGTGTGTGTCTTGTCAGATGGTGGAGGAGGAAGCAGTGGTGGATCAGTAATCTGTATATAAGGTGACAGTGTATGTCTTGTTAGATGGTGGAGGAGGAAGCAGTGGTGGATCAGTAATCTGTATATAAGGTGACAGTGTGTGTCTTGTTAGATGGTGGAGGAGGAAGCAGTGCTGGATCAGTAAGCTGTATATAAGGTGACAGGGTGTGTATTATCAGGTAGTGGAGGAGGAAGAGGAAGCAGTGCTGGATCAGTAAGCTGTATATAAAGGTGACAGTGTGTGTCTTGTTAGATGGTGGAGGAGGAAGCAGTGGTGGATCAGTAATCTGTATATAAGGTGGCAGTGTGTGTCTTGTTAGATGGTGGAGGAGGAAGCAGTGGTGGATCAGTAATCTGTATATAAGGTGACAGTGTGTGTCTTGTCACATGGTGGAGGAGGAAGCAGTGCTGGATCAGTATGTGTATATATATATATATGAGTATGTATATGTATATCCGGAGTCAGGAGACCTCTCACCTCTTCACATAAATATCACTCATTTTCTCCCCCGTGATGCTGACATCATCCAGGATAACGTCACGCGCGTTCCAAACAATACAGCGCAAGAAAAACCTGGAGGGGAGACAAGAAGCAAAGCTGAACTCCGGCCTTCCCTTCAGTCTTCCATCTGACCTCTGTCCTTCCCTTCAGTCTTCTATCTGACCTCTGTCCTTCCCTTCATTCTTCTATCTGACCTCTGTCCTTCCCTTCATTCTTCTATCTGACCTCTGTCCTTCCCTTCATTCTTCTATCTGACCTCTGTCCTTCCCTTCATTCTTCTATCTGACCTCTGTATCTGACCTCCGCCCTTCCCTTCAGTCTTCTATCTGAACTCCGTCCTCCCCTTGAGTCTTCTATCTGACCTCAGCCCTTCCCTTCAGTCTTCTATCTGACCTCCGCCCTTCCCATCAGACTTGCACAGTTGTATCAGCTCCTTTGGACTGAAAATGCTCTGATGTCACTGCACACTGCGAGCTTCTCACAATGTACATTAGCAGCTGTCAGGAAGTCAGCTACAGAGCCCACCTCATGCCCTGGCTGCAGGACGCCCCTTTTATTTACTGGATTTCAGCCCATGGAGGCTTAGCATCAAATGTGGGCAGTCTGCATGCAAATACAGCCCTCCTAGCCCTCTGCTCCAGACTGACACCCTCCCATCAAGGCATTTTAATATTTGCATCACTCCTCCCAAGACCCCGCCCACTGCTTGCATCAGCTCTGAGGGCTCTTGAGAGGAATACTGAGGCACAGTGCTTTGATGTTTTTAGGAAGCTATGTACAGCACTCTGCTGGCTACTTCCACCAGCCGTGATCTGCCTGCATTGCACAGAGACATCACTAAGTATAAAATAATGAATGTAATGACAATGGAAAGGTTTTATTTAACATTTTAATTAGCATCCTGATGAGGTAGAAGGGAGGAGTCAGGGAAGGCAAAATATAAGCAGAGTAAACTTCTGATTTGAAGACAGTTGGGGAGGAATGAGAGGAAATCTACCTAAACCTGACAAAGCTCTAACCCTTCCCCAATCTTGACAACTAAAATAATTATTTGTACAACTTGAAATGAGCTTGGCGACAGGGAACATTACCTTGTCAAAGTGACCAACCAGATCCCAGATTACTGGAGTGCGGGATCATTTGTGATTGGTGTGTATGGGAAACTGCACTCAGCACATCACCGCCTGCTTCTTATGCAACAGCTCATAGTCACCAATCAGATTGATCACATAGGATAAAATGGTGTCTACGGTACAGCCCCTCACACATGTGTACGAAGTATGGCAGACTATGTCATGAATCTCACCTTTTTGCTTTCCTTGGAGTGATGTTAAATGGTGGCCCCGGAGGTCCCAGGGACTTGGGGAACACATCTACCCACATCTGTAACTTACCCTAGAGATACAAAGTGCAGACGGTGAGGATTAGATGGCTGACAGAATCACAAAAACATCTCCAAAAAGGCAGGTGCCAATCAGACTAATCGGGTAATGTAAATGAAAATGGCTAATGTAATTTGGGCAAAAAAAAATCATGTGTAGGTGAGCAATATGCTCTATGAAGGTGGCCACCTCTAAGGAGTCCATCCATATCCAGTTACAGTGTATAAGCATAATAAGAGGCAGAGGACAAACACTGCGGAGGACAGTGGTGACCTCTGCACAACTACTACTGCTCCTCCAAATTCCCCAGGTCATCCCGCTGTGTCACACATTATGTAGTTTACCTGGAGACACATCTGTGATCTGTATAAACTACTTACACATGGCTGACCTGTACCCTTGTGTCACTGGCTAGGTGTCCTGCTGTGTTATAGTGCGCACAATACAAATGTTATACCTGTTCTATCTCAGGCTGCAGGGGGCTATAGAGCGATCTTGTCTCCACATGTTCACAGACCAGGCCCTGTTTGAGCAGGACGTGCAGAGCCAGGCGTTCCTCGAGTGACCCCAGATGTGGATTGGGGAATTTACTGTCATCTGTCAGAGAGAAAATGAGCAAATGTGACTAACCCTTCGCTAATCTATCCAAACAAAAAGTTCAAATGAATTCCCAGTTTCCTGTTGTGACGACATGGTGATGAGTTTATAAGTTAAATGTGTATTGGGGTTGAGTTATGTTTGAGTGCGTTATGCTGTGTGACCTGGTTATGGAAAGGCTATCAGCACCATCCCTCGTTATCTCCCATTGTTCTCTGAGGGAGCTCAGAACAATGACATTCTGGCCAGGTTGTTCGTTAGCAGGTGGACACCTGTGGTGTTGAGCAGACCGATGGTCTGGGAGGGGGAGGGGGGATGTGATGGGATTATATTCTAATTTCATCACTTGCTGTATATAAGTTTGTGCAGTTGCTCAATAAATCAGAGTTTGTTTCACCTACACTCGAGCCTTGGCTAGTGACTGGGGAAACTGGGAGCTACAGATCAGCGGGTTCCAATATCTCCTCAGCAAGGAAGAAGACAGCGGCGGACATACTCATCCTGAGTACGGGGGTCCGTCACACCTGTCACATGACAAAATATATATACTATATATAGATAGATAGATAGAGAGATAGAGAGATAGATAGATAGATTTATCTATCTATCTATCTCTCTATCTATCTATATATAGATATATATCTACTGTATATCTATATATAGATACATATACTGTATATAGATATATATATTTGTATATACGGTATATATAGATATATAGAGATATATATCTATATATATCTATATATATATATATATAGATATATATAGATATATATCTATATATATTATTATTATTTTTTCCCCCTAAAATTCTATGTAGGTCAAGCTGTCCAGTGAAAGTGGCAGAGGTTGGGCCAAGGTACAGTATAACACTGCCAGGGAGGGTTCGAGTAGTTGCAGGGAATTTTTTTCTTCAAGAAATTTAAATAATGTGATTAAAAAGTGACTGGCGGTGTTTGTCCCAACCCTCATCTTTGTCACTTTTGCAGGCCTGCATGTAAATAAATGAATATCTGGCTTCCTGTTTCAGCCCCATGGTGACTGGTCCTCCTTATAAACCTAAGAATGTGATGCATGTAGAGGTGTGTATACAGCGGCTCACCGAGATCGGCCAGACTGTACTCATGGCCGCGGAAGACAATCTTGCTGTTTTTGTACACAGGGGGTTTGACACTACGCTGCTTGGCCAACATTTGCAGGAGCTGAGATGGTCGTAACTGGTCCCTCCACTGGTTGGGTCCTGATCTGAGATGAAAGAAGCAAGATGTTAGTCATGTCTACAGAAAGGACAACGTACCCCCCAAACCCCAACATCTGAACAGAACTTGTACCCAGGCCGGTAATCCTGGCTTAGATAGAACCTCCATTTTAAATGTTTAAAAAAAGCCTAAAAGCAGACCTGCTATTCTCTTCATCAGAAACAAAATCGACTCTGTTATGGGATGTCAACTGACCATCCCCAAGGCCAGACAGCAGCTTGGGCTTCCCCTGAGACTGGAAGTCAAAGCAAAATCTAGTCCTCACCAGAAACCCCAACAGGGTGATATGAGTTTTCGTTTTCCTTTCACGTGACAATTATTATATTTTTCCTAACATTCCATGGGCTCCGAACTGTCCAGTGAAAGCGACAGAGGTTGGGCCAAACTATAAAACTGCCAGGGAGAGTTTGAGCAGTTACAGGGATAATTTATTTTTAAATCATGTGATTAAAAAGTGATTACGGTAAACATCCCTGGAGGTCTTTGTCCAAACAATCATCTTTGTCCCTTTTTACTTTAATCACTGTACAGGTAGATCTACTGATTGGTTGACTCTGCCAGAGTATCAGTCTCGTAAGCTTTTATAGGAGATTGCATGTGACCAGTGCCATGGCATTTGCTCATGTGACGAGCACATGAAGTGGCTCGGTGATGACAAAAAAAGTTATTTTTGTGTTTCCAGCCATTTTGGTTTTGTGGACTGTCACTGGCAGAAATAGAAGAATTATTATAGGCCCGCTCTATGTAATTCCCCCTACGCTAGATAACAATTAGGGTACTTGCATGCAGTAGGACTGAGGTAGGCCACATCGAGCTCTGTATTTGGAGAGAAAACGGTTCTCTAAGTCGATCACAGTCTCTCCGATCTTCTCATCTTTGGACATGACATCATAGTCATAGAGGGTGATCTTCAGGTCTTTCTCCAGCGGGAGGGTGCAGGTCAGTTCATACATTCTACAAAACACAAGAGAAAATGAGAGCCATGGCTTTATACAAAGCAATGATTTGGGACTTCCAGAACCTTTTCTGCAGGCAGCTGGATATGTTTTAAAGTACTTATTTCTTTAAGGAAGGCCATAGTTCTACTTTTCAGGGGACACTTTTAATTTAAAGACAGAGTCACTTTAAAGTAAAATTTCAGCCACAACTTTAAAATTAGGTTAGAATGGTTTCAAACCTTGGTTAAGTTTTTCCCTTAAAGGGGGATAAATACTAATGAAACATAAAAATGTATAGCCATCTGACAGTAATGGGGAGATTCCCCGCACTTCCTGTCTAGGTGATCACACATGTCGGTGAGAGTAAATCTCCTGGTGGGAGATCAGGAAACATGGGATCTAGCTTTCTCCACTCTAAAACTAAAAATAGTTTGTCCAGGGTTCCACATTAACATGTAGCATGTTGCACTTACTTCCCAAACACGGGCTCCAATATGCAGGGGATGTAATTCTCTTGATCATCTATAGACTTCTTTCCGACAGAAATTCTGACGTAGGGGTCACACTGGAAAGTAGATTTGAATATGTTTAAAATCACACCCATTGATTTCACAATTTTATTGGACTCTATCCTGCAGCCCCAAATCACTCCACTCCATCATGCCAAGGAAATATATTTTTTATGTAATGTTTATTTTCTTAATATTTCCATTTTACAGAACAAGAAAACAGAACATAAATAAAACAAAAACCTTTTCAAATGACAATAAATGCAATGAGAGAGATTAGGCCGCTCGTAGCCGTAGCGTCCAACAGGAGAATCTGCCACCATGGTTGTGAAGGGTGTGAAAAACTCACATAGGTGGAACAGTATAATATTACCATCAAATTAGATAATAGAAACCATATTCATGAAGATTACATCCATATGTGGGAACATCACCACTCAAGGTTATCTTGGAAGAACAGAAAATAAAAAGTTTTGGGGGGTTATTCACAAAGCTGCCGAAGGCAGTCGAGTGAATAACCCAGCCAAAGTGAACACAGCCGAATGACATTCAGCTGTTCACTTCAGCTCTGTACGGCTGATTTCCGCTGTTCATTGGCTAAAATCAGCCGTACGTCGGCTGCCCTACGGTGATGTAGGAAAGCTCGTTTGATTGGCCAACTCTCAAGTCTTCAACCCAGCACATTCAATTGGCAAGCTATGGGTCTGAAGAAGGTGCTCGGTTCTCATCTTTTGCAAAAAATAAAAAGAGGACAAGAAATAGGGAAAAATAGAGACTAAGAGAAAGAGAGAAAGATAACAATAAACTAGTAAGAACCAAGGTGCCAGTAAGGATGAAAATCAAGCACTACATAATAAGGAACGCCCTATGATCTAGGAACCAACTGGGTGAGGGAGATCCTGAGTAGGAGTGAATTGCAAAGAGAAGTGCATCCAGATAGCCCAAATGCAGTAGAATATATCATAACGGTCTTTACATGCAGCGATCCATAAGTTCTGCTTTCGTAATAATATTATTCAGTTTGTCAATCCAATCCTTAATGGTTAGGACCGAGGGTTTTTTTCCAAAAAATGTGAATCAAGCATCTGGCTGCATTAAGTATATGTGGTAAAGCACATGTTGTATTGTGTTTAGTTGACATAGGGTGCACGTGAAGCAAAAAGGACCCAGGTCCATCAGGCAGATCAACATCTAAAATACATTGTACCAAAATGGATGAATCTGAGGGCATTGCCACCGTATGTGCAACAGGGTTCCTAAATTGTCCACATCCCTGCCAACACAGGTGTGAAATGGAAGAATACCCGAGTGCTAATTTTGTGGGGACCTTGTACCAAAAAGTCAATAACTTATAGCAGGTCTCCTGAGTTCGGGAGTCTATGGAGGTACGCTGAGTTAGACTATAGAGTGGAGTCATTTGGGCTTCTGTGAAGGTGCACTTAAAAATCTCCCACTCTGTAAGGAAATGCAACTTGCTCCTAGGTTTCATTGTCAAGAACAGTTTATACAGTACAGAAATCAATCCAGGTGGGGGCATGGAGTGACGGCACAGCTGCTCAAAACTGGTAGGAGAAGACATTGGGTGTATCAAGGGAGCTTGGGATGCAAAAAAAAGTGTTGAAGTTGACCATATTGCTGGGTGTCCCTTGGGGAAGCTCCTATAACGATCTCTCAACTCAGGCAGTGGGAGAAGTTTGTCGTCTCTAAGAAATCTGCCACACCTAGTGTCCTCCTCCGACACCCAATACTGAAAAAGGTCAGTTAGAGGGGATAGGTTAGGGACAAGACAACCATCCCGACTGAGTGTGTCCCATACAGCTAGTGTATGTGTGGTAGAAGGGGATGGGGCATCAGAGAGACCCCGTGCCAGCCGTATACTTTCCCATAGGTACCCACAATTTAGATTTAACATGATGGTGCCAATTAAGAATTTGTTGCAAAATTATAGCTTTGTAATACAGAAGGACATCTGGGAAACCCAGGCCTCCTGGATCCTTCAGTAATGTAAGAGTAGTGAAAGCTGTTCAAGGTTTTTGTTGGTTCCATACAAAGCAGGAGGAGCAGGCTTTCTAAGTCTATGAAAGAAGGGCATGGGTATCCTAATCAGCAGCATCTGTAGAACAGATAAAATCTTAGGTAGCGCCGACATCTGTAGTGTTTCCCTCTTTTTGTCCCTTTAAAGGAGAACTATGGGGTTAGGGCTTTTCCCCATAGTTCTCCTTAGGGTAACGGGAGGACACAAACTAGCGTCCTCCCGTTACCCAAAACTCAGTATATCGCGAGCTGCAGCTCGCGGTATACTGAGACGCCGCAGCTGAAACGGATCCAGCCGCTTATGTCTGGATCCGCCCAGCTGCGTGAGTGACAGCTGGCTCTGCCTATCCAGAGGCAGAGCCAGCTGTACCCACCCCCTACTCGGTCCGTTCCGCCAGTCAGCGCTGGAGGATCGGACAGGGGAGGAGAGAATCCAGTCACTCCCCTGTCACGGCTCTCTGCCGTGACAGGATCGAGAAGTGAGCGAACACCGGTATGTGTTCGCTCACTTCCCGATCTACTGAGCCGACCTGTGACAGTTTCATTGTCACAGTTCGGCTCAGATTATGAGGCTGAGTGAAAAGCACTCACCTCATAATTCTTCTTTAACGAATAACTCCAGACAGAGTGAAAATGAGCACAGAGTCTTGTTTACTTAGCTTGCATGAGAAGAAGAACCTTTTTATATGAAGGCAGAAAAACACAGACTGCGGGTATGTCCATAAGTGGCCAAATACATTAATTCCATAAATACTGTATGCCATATACCCAGACAGGGACCTGCAGTGTTATTTCTTAGAGAAGTGTCCTTATATTTAGTGTGGCAGCACCTCAGGGTCCATCCTCTTCCCTCTGCTTCCAGGCACACACATGAACTCTTCCAGGTCACAGTTTAACTGCCTGCATGCTGTGTGCCATGCTCCCCTCCTACTCTCTGTAGCAACATGCACAGTGCCCATAACCAAAGAAAACCATAACAACTTCCCACAACCCACAAGAGAACAATGTGAACCATGTAAGTGACAGTGTGTCCTATTCATCCAATTTCTGCCCAACTGAAATCAATAGCGTCTCAAGATTTCTGTAATATAGATGGTTCTTGTTGCTGGTCAAATATATGCCCAGAAATTTCAGCGAGCCCACTGTCCAAGTGAAGGAAAAGGAATGTCTCAATGTGCATTCAAGAGCAGGAGGAATGGATATAGGGAGGATCTCCGATTTAGAATAATGTATTGTAGAGTAGGCCATAATGAGTTAATTCAGTCCATAAGTTAGGTAGAGACTTGATGGGTTCGGTAATATAAAATAAGATATCGGTGTATGCCGATAATTTGGGTCCAGTGGGCACTATGGGTATCCCCTTAATATTATTGTTGCTCCTGATCTTTTGTAATAAGGGCTCTAAGCTTAGGACAAAGAGAAGGGGTGACAAGGGGCAGCCTTGCATTGTGCCATATTGTATGGGAAAAGATGGGGATAATATACCATTGACTTTGACATGAGCGATAGGACCATAATATGGCGCCAGAATATTGTGCAGCATAAACAGACCAAGGCCAATGGCTACAAGAACCTCTTCCAAGAAAGTCCAGTCCACAGTGTCAAAAGCCTTCTCTGCATTTGTGGACAGAAGGAGGCATGATGGAGAGTCAGGATTACATCGCACCCAATGAACAAGTTGGAGTGCTCGAGTGGAATTATCTCGCTTTACACCCAGAGACAAACCCTGTTTAGTCAGGGTGGACTACATCCGGAAGGAGGAACCAAAGCCTATCAGCCAAAATCTTAGCAAAGATCTTTATGTCAAAATTCAATAAAGAGCTTGGACCGCAATTTTGTGGTAGGGTATGGTCTTTATCGGCTTTTGGCAGGACCGTTATATGGGCTAGTAGGGCATCTCTGGGAAAAGATGTTCCTGCTTGTATAGAGTTGAAATAGGTGAGCATGGGGGTAGAAACCAGAACTAGAAATTTGTAGAAAAGGCCTTGGGAAGGCAGTTGGGACCAGGACATTTCTCATTCAGAGAGTTCCTAATAGTGTTCAAGTTCTTGGGAAGAGAAGGGTGTCCCCAGGTCTTGAATTACTGCAGTAGGTAATTTGGAATAACGTGCTTCCTTTAAATGTTTCCTAATAATAATAATCTATGCGATGGCGAGGAAACAGGCCATAAACTATAAACAGCCCATAAACTATAGAGAGTTGCATAATATTCCCGAAAGGCCTCTGTAATCTTCTAGGTGTGGAAAGCCATATGACCAGGGGACGTCAGAATTTGATGGACATGCATGTTAATGCATGCTGTTTCTTTAGATCCCTTGCCAACATTCTACCGCTAATGTTGTCATGTTCATAACATGTATGAGCAAGATATCTAAATTTTCTATGAACATTTAAGCCAAGAATGGCAGAAAGTTCAGCGTGTAGAGAATCCAAAGTGAGTCCAACATCTGGGAGGCTGTTCGTTTTATATTACAACTCTACTTTATGAATAGTGGTTAAAAAGCGTTGCAGTTCCACTTGTCTACTTTTCATGAGGTGAGTGCCATGAGATATCGGTTCACTTCTAACAACTGCCAGGACCTCTCTGCTAGGCTAGTGGTGAAATAGTGCCATAGCGTCGACTGTATGGCCTCCAAAGTTGTCAAGTCCTCCAACAGTGACTCATTAAGGCCTCTCTTCGAAGGGGGGTCAATTGAAATAGTGATGGGACTGTGGTCCCTAATGGTATTAGATGCTATGGTGGAGTTGGCATGGCACTCCATAAAGAGGTGATACAAATGTAATAAATCAATTCTAGAGCATGTGATAAAGGTTTTAGACTAATAGCTATAGTCCTAGTCCCATGGATAACCCTCCAGCAGCATGTTTCTGCTTACCTTGCCATTGGAATCTTTGGGTTGCAGACCAAAAGCACGGACAATGTAAACCCTGACCAAGCACTCTTGAAGCCCTTTTGCCGGCAGTTGTCGGAACTGTCGTGTTGGTAGCGGGACGGATGGATCATCAGGAAGACTGTATATCTTAAAGCATCCCTAAATGTGAAAAAAAAACAAAACAAACCAAGGTGTAATCCTTTTACAGTTTGATAATGTAGTCAGCTTGCCAATTGTTTTATTCGTTTTATAATGAAACACATTTTTTTCCTTAGTTAAAGCCAAAGCCTTTTAGTTCTCATCAGTGCAAGATCACAAATTGTGTCCATAGGTTTTATGGAGCAGGGATAGGGCAGTGGTGAGATGGTAAAACCCAATAAAAGTTCCCAAGAAAATAAAAGTCATTCACTGAAATACTGTACAATATAGTTTTGGATTCTTAAGAACACTTTCTTTTGAAAATGATCATTGACCTGTTGGAACGAATATGCACATTTCAGGAGTTTTGACTTACTGCCTGCATAATTGTTCCAGAGCAAGTCAGAGGATCATAATAACTTCCTGATTGGCTGCCTTGAACCCAGTCATCACTGCATCTCCCATTACTGACTGTGCTGCAGTGGCCCGCACACTGGTTGTTCCCAGTTCTCACTTAGATTGGTCACTATTTCGGGGTGTAATGAGGTTCCATTTTATGCCAATTGAAAGCAGGGAGACCTCTCTAGAAAGTAGACCATTCTACTAATTGCATTGAGTTGCAAACAAGAAATGCAAAAGGAATAAAGGATTTGGCAGTGATGTGGCTACTTTCACTTTTAGTTCGGGTAATTGGGATGGGGATGGGTCCCCTGTATCGTTGGCAGCCACAGCTGGCAGTGGGATTCCACCATGCAGCCTGGACTCACAATGTACTGCTGCACAGAACTGTGCTTAGAGCTTTGCGACATGTCAGCTTCATATGAGGGGTGGAAGAAAAAATAAATTCAAGCCATGCTGTAAAAAAATTTTTAGGCCATCTTCACAACTTTTAACATTTGCGTTGTCAGCCCAATAATTTTAAATATGCCACAAACACATCCCAACACATTTAATAATTTTTATCCCCATGACATAGTGCGCCACATTGCACATACCTGTACTTGTACATGATGTGGTTCCATGTGTTGCAGAAACGCACAAAGGTGTGAAGCCAACCTTATAATTGCCTTTCTGGTAAGTAGAGAGTTAAACCTTCCCTGTTTTTAAAAGCTCTGGGCACCACTGCTTTCCATGCCCTGGTGACAGGGTCACTTTAATAATCTAGAGTTGAGCTTTAAGTTATGTAGCTTAGTGTAGCTTAATAAAAGTGGACCTTCTTCCATGCTTTGTACTTCCTCTCTTATGTTTCCTACCTACCTCTTCCACCTTATACTTTCACATTGAATTACCTAATGTTTGTTGGTGAACCTTTCAACTTTCTTATTCCTTGTCTAGACATGGATAATGTAGCCCCCCAGCTGCCCACAACTGCTCCTGGAATAATGATATCACACATCCCAGAAGGCTTCAGGACAGACTTCCGCTATCTACAGACCACGTGTATGCAGAGGGCCACGTCATGCACCCCAGGAGGCCAGTAACTCAAGCAAGGATGATATTATGATCCTGGGACATCACCCAGGACACAGCAGCATTGTTGGAACTGAGGTCCAAGATACAGGACTGCTGGCATCTATGCAATAGATGAACTGAAGTAAACTCCAGCAAGTGTTATACATTTTAGTCACCTTAAATTCCCCGACTACAGAAGGGTCCTCGGCTTCGTCTTGTGATCTTCCCCTAAACAGCTTGAAACTGCGACAGAAGTCTGATAGGGCCTCATAATCTTCAATGTTCTCTAATTCTGTGTCCAGAACCTGCAGAATAAAAATACAAGTAGCTGACATTTTCCAATTTGGTTAACTTTATGTACAGCTTAGTTCTCCTCATGTACAGCTTAGTTCTCCTCATGTACAGCTTAGTTCTCCTCATGTACAGCTTAGTTTTAGTCATAGTTGAAACAGACCCTTAGTGCAATTTACAATTTCACAAATTGTATTTACATCCTATTTGCTTGGGTGGTGGGGGCTGTCAGGACCTTGTCATTCGTAGGTGGTCTCGACTTCCAAAGATTTTTGGAATTGGTCCCTTCAACCATGACAAAGTTGTGAATGTAGATGAGGAGTTCCATAAATAAAGGTCTTCAAAACTCCAGGAAATGAATAAATAATGTATTGAAGTGTGACAGTTCATAAAGAATATCCAATGCATTTTGGGTGTTTGGGGCTCTTCCTTCTTCAAGGCTTTTAATAGTTTTACAAGTTTTTTTTTTTTTAAATCAAAGTTTTTTTTATTGATTTTGACAATGACAGTACAGCAGTTTGTATGAAGTGTACAATACATAAATCTTATGATTGACACTCGCAAGTCCAACAGTGCAAAGTATATAAACGTTTGAAATGTCAAAACAGAAGGCACCTGCGCTCTAAGGCGCATATCAGAAAGGCAAGGGAGCCAGAGGAAAGGTATTAGGAAAGAGGATCGAAAGAGCAAGGTAAAGGAGAGAAGGAAAGGTCTGGTAGCGGATAGTTTTGCAAGTTTAAATGGAAAGAAAAAGTGTCTGGACCTATTGGGTTGTTCACACAATCTGTTCTTTGCCTAAAGTAGAAAATGTTATTACGTTGAGGAGGTTTCTCTTCACTTCTTGGACATTAGAGAGGAAGTCGAATCTTCTACAGAGTTATGAAAGTTCCCCTCTTAGATGTCATCAGAATAGGTGTCTATTTACCCTCACCTCTTGTTTTGTAAAATGTTGGACGTCCTAATACTTTCTGTGCCTGTAACAGTGGTCATTGGGACAAGTGGGGTAAAGCTACCTTTGGGTGCACAGCAAAAAAAAACAAAAAACATTGACAGGGTGTCTAATCTGTCTAATCCTTCTCTAATCTACGCAAAACAAACAAACAAAAATATTTTGAGCTTAATATAAAATTTGAGAATGATTGCATAAAATATGCACACTATGGGTCTCTGTTTATTTTATGTAAAGCTATGTTGGCATTCAAATTTGACATGATGTGTTAATTGTTACCCTGGGAAGTGCCCAATAAAACATCCGGTGTAAAATGCTCATTTATCCCAAAATGAAAGAGTTATTAATGAATTGCATTGAAATAATTAATTACACAGTTTTCGTTTCATTAATTTTCTATGCAGGGATTTTTAGCCAAATAATTATTATACTATAATATTTCATTTATAGCGCATGAGACTAAGAACCTAAGCAATGGCAGCTGAAACCACATTTTATGACCCCTTCAAGTCCGGTATATGAAATTCTGTTTGTGTGGTCATTGATGCAAAGTTAATGACACCCCCAGACTCATTGTGGCATTCCTGCAGCTCCTTCAATGATAACTCTACATCTACAGAGCTTCTCTCATTATTTGAGGATTTCCACCTGAACTCCTAGCCTTGGTGAGAAAGCCTTATTTTTATTTTTGCTCCAGCTACTTTTGAGTTTCCATTGACTTTCTATGGGGAGAGAAGCAGTTTTGACGAGAACAAAAGCCCAACAACACAAGACCTAAAGGTGGTTTTGAAGGTTTTTAAGTTTGCAAAGAGGAGCAGAAGAGTGCTTTCTTCAGGGATCCTGTATCTGTCCAATTGACACGGTTTATGACCAAAAGATGGTAGTATGTTTTACCTGTAATGTGTCAAATCCTCGTTCCAGATAAGTCCCACACTTGTCCTTCTGCCCGATGGATGCGTAGAACTTGCTCCACCAATCAATAAACTCTTCTTCCTGGTGAATGAGATAAAATATAGCATTAAATAAGTCATTTCTTTATGTTCAGGAAGGCATAATTAGGCCCTTTGTTGACCTTGGTCAAATTCAGGTTGCTTTCAGGTTGCTTTCAGGTGCATTCAGCTTGCATTTGACATCAGTTTCAGACACCGCTGAGATCATTCAGTGTTTTATCAGAGGTACATTTAAACTGCAGTTGACCTGCTTCAGATCAACTTGCTTTAGCTGCTATGTTTAGTGTATGAACACGTGCAAAATCCCATATTTTTTTGGCCTGCATTCATGTAAAGCATGAAAAACACATGTTGCGCTTGAGATGCCATTCATTGTTAATGGCACCCCATGCAAGATGTGTGTTTTTTGCTTGCACATAATGCACAAGAAACACACAGTTAGAAACCATGCAAAGCTCAAAGGTGCATGAGCTTCTTTGCTTGTTTGTTACATGTAAGGCAGTAATGTCGGATGCGCAAAAAAATGTGCAAAAATACACCTAAACCTGAATTGTGAAGTGGTGCTACACAAGTGTAATTGGGTGCTCAAGCTATTTTTGAGTTCCCATTTACTTATACAGGGAGGGAAGCAGTTTTGACGTGAGCAAAAGCCCAACAACACAAGACCTAAAGGTGGTTCTGAAGGTTTTTAAGGTTGCAAAGGGTTAGCATTACATTTAGTGTTAGGGTTAAGGTTGGTTATATCTTATCAGCAAAGTCACTGATCATTGTGACTTTGCTGATAACAGTCATTGCTGAAATTCATCATTTCTAATCTATTAGGCAAAAGTGGAGATGTTACAGTTAGGAAGTGTGATAATCCAGCTTGATATTCCATAGTCATACCCAAATCAATGGATTCCAAAGATTTTATTATTTCAGTCTGGGGCATTTTGCATGTTGTAGGAAAGAAAGTAGCAATCTATCAATATGGCAGATCTGAAGACCGCCAAGGTATTTTAAACTAAATTGTAGGCTTATCATTTCTATGAATTTGATATAGAGATATAGGAGAGGGAGAGGAGAGAAAGCCCAAGAGAGAGAGAGAGAGACAGTCAGGAGAGAGAGAGAGAGAGGGATGAGACAGCCAGGAGAGAGAGGAGAGACAGTCAAGAGAGAGAGAGAGAAAGGAGAGACATACAGCAGGAGAGAGGGGGAGAAAGAGAGGAAAGACAGCCAGGAGAGAGAGAGAGAAAGGAGAGACAGACAACAGGAGAGAGAGAGAAAGGAGAGACACACAACAGGAGAGAGAGAGAGAGAGAAAGGAGAGACAGACAGCAGGAGAGAGGGGGAGAGAGAGAGAGAGAGAGAGAGAGGAGAGACAGCCAGGAGAGAGAGGAGAGACAACCAGGAGAGAGAGGAGAGACAATCAGGAAAGGAGAGACAACCAGGAGAGAGAGGAGAGACAACCAGTAGAGAGAAGAGTCAGCATAGAGAGAGAGAGAGAGACAGGAGAAAGAGAGAGAGAGAGAGAGAAAGAGAGAGAGAGAGAAAGGAGAGACAGACAGCAGGAGAGAGAGAGAGAGATGAGAGACAGACAGCAGGAGAGAGGGGGGGGGGAGGGAGAAGAGAGACAGCCAGGAGAGAGAGGAGAGACAACCAGGAGAGGAGAGACAACCAGGAGAGGAGAGACAACCAGGAGAGGAGAGACAACCAGGAGAGGAGAGACAACCAGGAGAGAGAAGAGTCAGCATAGAGAGAGAGAGAGACAGGAGAAAGTGAGAGAGACAGGAGGCGATATATTTTGCTTGTCCGAACCACTACCTAAACTCATGACAGATCCTGACTAACGGGGTGCCCTCTGATGGGTGATGGGTTCTCCAAAACAAGCAGACAGTTTTGGTACCTTTTTCATGTCAGCACTCAGCTTTTTTCACCAGAGAGCCTTCAGCATCAGTCACATCACATATATAAAGGCTTTTGGGCAGTGTAGACTGGCTACCAGGTAAGATGTGGACCTAGGAATAGAGTTTTTACCCTACCCAAAACTCTACAAAGCCTGTGGGCTCCAGGACCCTGAACAGAACTTAAGATTCTGAAAAAAAGTTTGTTTTCTCCATATCAAGCAATTATAAACCCTGGAGCCCCTCTCCATGTGTATGTGAGAAACCTAGATGACACATATACACCATCCAGACAAGGTAGCAGCTTCGGTCCTCCATCCCTCCATACTCCACAAGTATTTGATGGTGTCAAATCAGCAATCAGGAAGGAAGTGTGAGTATTTAATTGAACCTGTGTTTTGTTCTGCATGAACAAATCACAGGTTCACCTTATAGAGAACCTGTCATCAACATACAAGCTTAGTTTACCTTTCTATGTTTCACGTTACACCAATATTTAGGGTTTTTGGATGTCTATTCAAGGGCGAAGGCTTTTACAAATAATTAACATACCTAAATAAGTTAAATGCACATAGACAAAGATTCATATGTTAATGAATGGTCTTCCAACAACCCTAATGAGGGTATGATCACTCTGCAGCACCTTCTGCCTCTACTGAACATTGGAACTGCTTATTTTAGTAATGCATAGAATTCCATCACACTGACCTCATGGAGAAATTCTAAGAGAGGCTTATTGGATTTCTGGACTCAGCCAGACATTCACCCCTTAAATGAACACGGTGAACAGAGACTGGTTTCAATGTGGCTTTATCGTAAATTCCATTTCACAAGTCTCCCTCTGGTGACACAAAAAACATTCAAGGAAAAAACATGTCCTTGTAACTGTATCATTATCATAGCGGCTCTACCCAAAGCCTACTTACCCAGAGAATCTTCTGCAGCCATAAACAAAAGATGTAAGTTAGTTCATCAAAGAGTGCTATATTCTGCTAAAGTATATCTAAACCCAAAACCAAAAGTATAATATACTGCATGCCCCCTCCCGCCCCAGACTGCAGGGAGGATTTTCTAATGCGATCCAGTGCTTTGCAGCAGCTAACCAAGCTGGAACACACTGGAAGTGGGGTGAACCGGCCCTAAATGTGGTGGCTGCATTAGTTGCGGAGGAAGTATGTGGAGAGGGTGAGCATTGTGGGGTGAAGGACACGGGGTTAGGCCTAGAAGGTGAAGTTGGGCTTTAAAAGGGTCAGTCCATTCTCAAGTAATATTTCAGTTTTTGGTAAGTTCTTTCTTAGTGGTATAATCCCAGAATTTCAATTGTAAGGTTTACACACCTGCAGTGACAGTTATCAATGGGATCCCACACTTCTAGTTGCATTAATAAATTAGAGAATGTGCAACAGGCAACAGGAGAAACTGGAACAAGCCAAGGTGGGTGGGAACATCAAAACTCCAAGGTGGGTCAGAACAAAGTCGGGAATTACAGCATGGGCATTTGTTGCTGGAGTCCCCAAAGGACAAAGGCTTAAAAAGTGATGTGGATAAAGCCCATCAACCCATTCTGAACATTGTCATATCACATTTGGCTAGTCTGACTACACATGACAAAGCGGTTTATAGAAATGCATTAAAGAATAAATCATAAAAGCAAAGCTAAGGGGATAGAGACAGCAATATAAATCTAAGAGATTCTAGGCATGTAGTTCTAGTGATTCTACTGTAGGTGTATGGTCCAATTCAGGTCTATGGGGAGGTTTTTTACAGCCAGAGAAGTGGGAATTACAGAGATACTATTAGTGATGGTGACTTTGTTTTTTTCCCCTCCCTCCATGCCAGTCTTACTTACCTTATCAGGGCTCTGACCTACTCCTGCCTCCATTGCAATGGTAGACAGTGCTGGTGCTTCTTGGAAGGGGAGTGCATATGACCTCCTACAATATCACTGTGCTTGCATCTAGCAAACAATTGCTAGGCCTTAACACTATCACATGACCAGGGAGTAACATAAAGTTCCCCAGAGTTTCCTACACCAGCCAACACCTTGGATTTCAGTGGTAAGGTAAACACAACTGGAGCGGGGGCTTTACAAAGACACTGTGGGGGGAATTTATCAAAACTGAAGCAGAGAGCATCTAGAGCAGTTGCCCCTGGGACCCAATCAGCTTCTCTCTTCAGTTTGCTCAAGGAAGATTTGAAAATGAGACAGAGAAGCTGAAGAATTGCAGTGCAAATCTGCTCCAGATCTTGTCTGCTCCAGCTTTGATAAATTCCCCCCAGTGACTTTGCTCTGCAAAGGCAAGGGGACCTAGACTAAAAGTGAAACCAGAGAGTAACACAGGGGATATTTGCCTGGTTAATGAAGGTAAACACAGGCACCATGACATTCACTTCTATAGTGTAAAATGAATGGCGGATTTGCTTTAGAATGTTGTTAGGTGTTGTGTTATATCTACTCTATACGAAGCTTGCCATGTCCAATAGAGAAACCTGCCATGTATTGGGATGATGCGAATGACAGTGGTAGAGGACTATTAACACTTTACATTTTATGTTAAATGGGTTTATTGTAATAAAGACTCTGCCACCTATTCGGTAATGAGATGAAGGAACATCTCTAGAGGTACGGTTCTACTAACCAGATGCTAATAAAATGTAGAATCTGTCCACATCTCTTTGAAGTGTTCTGTAGTTGAAGGGGTCAGTGGAATTTTCCTTGCATGCAAAGTCAGGTGTAGGTTTTATAAGTGTATAAAAGGACATCAGAACTCTGACAGAAGTTACAGAAGGCACACTATACACAAGCATAAAAACATATGGGAACTTCTGCCAGCCAAATGGAAAAGTGCCCGCTAACCTGCTTACCAGCACCAAGTGAGCTAAGTAAGGTTAAAGAGAACCAGTCACCCTGGGGGTTATGCAAAAATCTGAATATTTTCTAAATGATTACTGTGTAGGTTACGTTTAAAAAAAATACAGTCATACCCTCGGGTTGCCTACCCAGATCTAAACCCAATAACTAAAAGCTGCTATCAGCTTTAACATGTTAGAGCAGCAGTTTTCTTTGAAAGAAAACTTGATGATTCTGCCATTAGGATCTATGTTGAGGAACTGTTATGGGATGACATCTTTCTCCCAAAATGCTCCTGTGTTGTCACTGTATCACATGAGCCCCTGGTGGATATTAAAAGTGGCCATGCTGACACACATTCTGCAGCCATGGTCCACCATTGTCCCTTTCAGGAAGCTGGTTCAGATCAATGATGTGCAACCAATGCTGGAGTCCGTGAATGTAGACAGGTAATTGTTTATGGTCCTCTGTGCTTCGGCAAACTAAAAGGGTAATTCACAAAGCTGCCGAAGGATCCAGCCCTAGCTTCGGTTGAAGGAGCCCTTCAGTTCAGTCGAACCGAAGGGCTGATGTATGGGTTATTCACTATAGCCCATACAGCAGCCGAAGGCAGTCAAGTGGTTCAGACGAGCAGAAGGCATATGCTTCGGCTCAACTGAGCCAAAGTGACAGCCGAAGCTGGGCGAATGGCCTGTCGTAGGCCGGCCGTACACCTCGCAAATGACAGCTGGGCGGAGTTGTAATGAAAGATCAGCGTCCCCAAATGACCTGGGGACACTGATCTGTCATTAAACAATAACAACTGGGCGGTGACGTCACGGCCAGCTCCGCCCAGTTGCAATTTATTGGCCAGGACTGGCTAGATGACTCTAGCAGGTGCTGGCCAATAAAAAACAGTTGGACGGAGCTAGCTGTCACTGCTAGCGCCGCCCAATTTTTAAAAAATGTATTGTTATTATTTTTTTCTGTTTTTCGACAATTTTTATTGATGTTCTATTTTTCTTGGTACCACCGCTTGCTCGGAAACATTCAGCTATTCACTCACTGCCGTTCGGCCCCAATGTGAATAGGGGCGAACGGCAGCGAGTGAGCTGCTGGAGCTTTGGCTCAGCTTATCCAGATGTTGGATTGGCTGAGTTGAAGTCCTTCTGCACTTCGGCTCAGCCGAACATGCTCTGACCGAAGTGCAGCCGAAGGCAATCGAATTACGGCTGATTTCAGACGATGTACAACTGAAATCAGCCATACTGAGCCGGAGTGAATAGCCGAACGTTGTTCAGCTCACTTCACTTCGGCTCGGTTATTCACTCGGCTGCCTTCGGCAGCTTTGTGAATAACACCCTAAATGTCGTTCATTTAGGGTTTAGATCTACTTTTACTATTGTCTGTGTTAGTTATATTATTGGTATGCACACTCAGGGGACAGGGTACATTATCTGTATGAGGCCAGACTTAAGCTGAAGCTTTTTCAAAGTAATTAAAGCAATTTAAGAGGGAAACATATATCTCAGTTTGTATGTAAATAAGTAAGTTATAAAAATTTGACTGCAATACTTGTATAGGCCCAATCGTGTCTGGTTCTCTTTAAAAAAAAAAATCCACAAGCACCTCCCGGTGAAGCAGTGACATCAACACAATCTTCTCTCACAGAGGTCATGCAGCGTGCGTGTTACATGGGAAAACATGACACCCGTATATGAAGCACTTTCACAATACATACATGAAGGCTGGACCGGGAGGACGATATGTTAATTATGGCGGAGACACCGTCCGCAAGCTACAAGTCAAAATGTTTGGTTAGCAACCCGCAGAGTCCACAAAATTAGAAACATAACAAACATTAAGAAACTACAAACACAAAATGATCAATTCCTGGAGTTCTTCTTTAACTATAATTATTTGAAGTCTTTGAAATACACTTTTTTTTTACCCTTCCTGGCAGCTGTGTATTTAGTGGTGGTTTCTACAGAGTAATCCGCCAAGCATCTTGTGAAAGGAGAAGGCTTGTAGAGAGGGTACGCGGTAAAATGTAATAAGCATTATAAGTTTTCCTGCCAAGGCTCTGGCTACCAGCCGGTTGACACTTGCATGCGTTTGGGGAATTGTAGTAAAACAGTGATCACAAAAGCCAAGGACCCAGAAAGAGGTAAACCACCGGTGAAGTCTGTGGTGCATACATCAAAGACAAACTACCTTTGTGAACATAAAAAGTGAGTAATGAAATCACAACACACTAAAAAAGGGCCCAAGAGTGCTTTTGGTGCTCCTTTGGAGCGTAAGGGCTACGATTCCCTGAACCCCCTAGGGCGCAAGGCTCCTGACGGGTCAAGGTAACCCTGATCCACCTAGCCAAAGCCAGGCAGACCCTAATCCTTAGGTACCTGCCAGAGCTGGTCCACCAAGTACAAGGTGAGGGCTCTACCAGAGAGAGACCCCCCGAGTGGGTACAAGTAAAGCAAACCTTTAGAGGCCACAGAACCTCTCCCATGACGTCAGGGGGGGCCCCGAAGACACCCACACCCTCAGTTGTCTGTGGGGTCAAAAAGTGCTCATTCGTGCATTAAAAAGTGAATAAACAAATAAGTGCCAGTGCTAAGACATGGCAGGTCTTTGGGCCAAGATAAAAAAAACTGCTCCAGGCAAGCCAAAAGGCCTGGCCAAGAAGCATAGTGCAGAACATGCTTTAGGTGCCGTAACCTAGTGCAAGTGAAACACAGTGGGATCACAAACCTATAGTAATTTTCTGGCACCCCTGGGATGACACACCCAGGGAATACAGTACAGTGGGCCCCTGCTCTTTCAGCTCATGGCCAGACAAGGGCAGCCCCATTTCCACAAGAAGGTATCTGCCTACAACTGGTGACACACCTGGTGCCCCAAGCCAGATTCAACCCAGGAGGTAAAGGAAACCCCCCAACACCCACCTATTACTCTAGGGCAGTGGTTCTCAACCTTTCTAGGGCCGGGACCCCTTGGTAACATTTGCCAAGTTGTGGTGACCCCCAAAGGTAAAATTTAGGGATGACGCGGCTGCTGCAGCGACATCTGGAGGCGTGGCAGGAGAACTGTTGCGCTAGGAGAGAGCTGAGGAGGACTCTCACCTTACACAGCGACCCACAGGTTGAGAACCACTGCTATAGACAAAGACAGGACCGGGCTCTGCAGCTGGAACTAGAAGAATTGGATTTAAAGTGTGTGGCTAAATAACGTATGAGGTACATACTCCGCAGTACTGTCACTGATAGGGATGGGCTTGGGCGTGTTCGCAGCTCCATGTGCCGAGCCGGCCAGGAAGCTGACAGCGCGCAGTGCCAATCACAGGCACTGAGACATTTCCTGATCTCTGCAGCTGCGGATCGGGAAAATGGAATGCATAGCTAGAAGTGTGTTTTACATATTTTTTTGCTTGAATACATACATATTGCACCCGCCCTCTTCTGCTGTCAATCATTAGAAGGGGACCTGATGGAGAACTTCAGGTCCCCCTCTGCTGATTGGCAGCATCAGAGGGCGGGTGCAGTAGCTAGTTTGCTATTGGCTTTTGCAAAGTGAAATAGCCAATAGGAATCTAGCTATGCATTCCTATGGTGGATTTTTTTTTTCTGACTTACGGCGGCCCCCGATTTAAAAAAAAAAAACCAGAGCAGAGAAAGGTCCCGACCTTTCCGGGAGAAAGTGTTTCTCTCCCGGCGGCCGAGAGCCACTAGGCGACCCCTGGCAAATCGTCATTCGACCCCCGAGGGGGTCCCGATCCACAGGTTGAGAACCACTGCTCTAGGGGATACTAGACTGTCATCTCCTGGTCCGAAGGCGACACTATACTTCCCCGAAAACTGATAAGTACAGATACTATATGTGATCTTAGCCAAAAGGCCCAGAAGTGGCTGCCTATATATGGAATTTGCAGAGATCTATAGCAATGTACAGGGGCAGTGAAGTGGTAAAGGGCCCATTGTGAGGTCAGCAACTAACACAATCCATAATCTGGAGAGCAAAAAAACACAAATGATCAACATCAGCCACAGGATCAACTTTATGGCTTCCAATATCACCAGGAGCACCGGTCCAATATACACATGAACTCAGGGTTACCTGTACACCTGGGCCTGATGCTCACACATTTCCTATAATCTTTTGCTACCTCTAAAGTTGGTCAACCATGACCACAAAATATATATAAGGGATAACTTTTTTGGAATTAATAAAAAACGGAATAGCCATTTATATTCTTACCTGACTCGGTATTAGAGGTTCCTTGTCATCAATATCGATGAGAATGTCATCCCGCTGGATAACACTTACATCATCTAAAATGAAATGTGGTACACCGCTGCTTTAATCACATCAAAAGAAAACTACAGTGTATATTCAGGAAATACATATAAGATATTACTGCAACATTTGCTGCAAAGGAATTCTTAATTGCCTTAACAAATTCAGGCTGAAGGCTTCATTGACAGATAGACTGAATAGGATGAACACTGCCAGCTTCAGGCTGCATTGAGATCTGCAGGGCCATCTATATAATATTGTCATAGTCATATAAATACATTTTTAAAATGGGAATAATTTAATTAAAAAGCAGAAACCCAAATTAAAGTCATGTGGTCATAGACATAAAATAAAGTATATGGCCAAAGGTTTGTGCACACTTTCTGTGGTTGATGGGTCTCAATACTGGCTCAGGTTCCCGCTAATTGATGGAAGCTATGATACAGTGATCAAATGCAAGTTGGAGGCTTTCCGTCTGCAGATGAACACCGTCACCTTAAGGCTGCATTGCGATCTGCAGTGCCATCTATATGTATTACTGTAATAATGATATTATTAAAAATAGTCATAAATAAAATGAAATCTAACCTGCAAATTGAAGTTCTGTGGGCATGGATATAAAATAAACAATATGGCTAACAGTGTTTGGGCAATTTGTGTGGTTGCTGGCTCTCAATCCTGGCTTGGGTTTCCTCTGACTGATGGCAGCTATGGCACAGGGATCAAATAAAGGCTGGAGGCTTCATTGACAAAATAAGCTTTCTACCTGCTAATAAACACTGCCACCTTAAGGCTACACTGGGATCTGCAGTGTCATCTATATAATACTGTAGTAGTCATATAATTACATTATTAAAATAGTAAAAATCTAATTAAAAAAAACAGAAACCTGCCCTGCAAATCCTGTGGTCATAGACATAAAATAAAGCATATGGCCAAAAGTGTGAGGGTAATTTGTGTGGTTGCTGGCTCTCAATCCTGGCTCGGGTTCCCACTAACTGACGTCAGATATGGCACAGTGATTGAATGTAGGCTGCAGGCTTCACTTACAAAATAAGCTTTTACAGGGCTGTTCACAAAAGGGTGAAGAGTTAGGAGAAGGTAGGAGAAGTGAACAATCTAGGCAAAATTGGTGATTCTGGAAAATTCTCCAATTCAGCTCACTTTCGAGTTCAGCTATGTTGTCCTAGATTGTTCACTTCTTCTGTCTTCTCCAAAATCTTCACTCTATTGTGAAAAATCCTGTTTAGTCTACATTGGGATCTGCATTGCCATTTTCATCATACCATTATAAATGGTCATTAATAATTTAATTAAAAAAACATTAAAAACATTTTTGCACATTTGTTACCTATGATTAAAATGAGCAGAGTTTTCATTTAAAAAGTGTACCAAATAAAAGTGTTATATTTCCCCCAAAATGTAGGTGTGCAAATTAGCCACAGAGTTATCTTCAATAGGGATGCTGCTAAAGCTGGCTGTAGTGGTAGATTTTTGTACGAATGTTCATATGATAAATGTAATTAAAACATTTGATGATGTCACATGTCCCTGTTACAATAATTCATGCAGAACGTCGACAGCAGTATACCGGCCATTCCTTCCTCCATGTCGCCCTCTTCCTCATTGGGGTCACAATGGAACTCCTCGAGTGAGTGGATGGTGCACTGTCCAATCACGGGCTTCCGACCAAACTGCCGGTTGTCGATCACCTTCACAATGATGGGCGGGCAGTACAGATCCTCACGGGGAAGCCTCTAAAAAGGAAGAGGAGATAGTGATGTGTTGGAAGTTTTACGCCAGCAGTTCTGCTCAAGCTTCTGCTCCAACTGGCCATGAAAATTGTCATTTTCGCAAACAAGACAGCAGACTGGGATGTATGTTGCCTGTTCCTATGTGATGCTGGTATGTACAATGCCTGTACTGATTTATATGTACATGTGGCAGCTGGCAGAGGAAAATGTATGAGTCTAGCCAGGATGGCAGAGTTGTATGCTCTAGATTCAGATATAATACTGAAGTTCTTCCTCTAGGGGAAAGTGCAGAGAGGGCTGGAGGCTTGGAGGTAACAAGCCCAGCTGAAGCTAGCTGGCTTGTTAGGGCCTCCACAAGAACACTCAGCCTCCTAAGAAAGGGGCCGCACCCTAGAGCCCGTCTGTGTGTGTGACAGACTGGGGGGAGAGGATCACCTGTGTGGTGGGCAGCCTGTGTGGCCAGGGGACAAGGATGAGCCTGTGTGGCCAGTGTGTTTGATACAGCCTGTGTGGGAAAAGTTTTGTTAAAAACACAACCTGAAGTCGGAAAGACATTGGAAGTGTTATTTTGCCGTTAGCAAGAAAACTATACTTTGTGTTGGAGAAACCCCTGCAAGGGAAAAACGTATGTGGGTGTTTAAATAAAAGTGGGCAGGAAGCCCTAAAAATATTTTTTTTTAAGAGTGGAAGAGTCCTGAATGCACTACCATTTTAAGCTAATCCTCACAAAGTTTCCTGATTTACTCTTAAGAGATTTCCCTCTGTCTAAGGGTGGTGAAGCAAACTGCAATCTGACCACTGTTAAAAAAAACTAATTTTTGATATTTCAGTTATATAAAACATATAAAAATGAAAGCATGTCTAGAGTTTTTTTCAATTACTTCTTTTCATGTAATTTAGGGTTAAACAGAAAAAGAAAAATTGGCATTTTGAACAATTTGCAGTACTTTTTGAGGCTTCACTTGTTTACATATAGTAGCAATAAGCTAAAAACAAACAAACAAGCCATTGCTGACCTCTGTAGCTGAAGGCACTGTAAAGTAATTCATCCTCAAAGTTCACAGCAGAAGTACTGATGATTGTGATCACCCACAGTAAACCCGACCTGACTTAATTAGGTAAGATGCAACGGCCTGCCTCTTCCATCCCATCATAAATGGGGTTGCAAATACGAGACTGTGAATGGATGTTTGCACTAACACTAAGGGGTCTATTTATAAACAATTCACTGCAAATCTCTGTGAATGTTCTTTTGTTTGCGAATAGAAGCAAAAACACATTTTCGGATAGAGATCACTGCCATTACAACCCCTTTAAAATTCGATGCTCCCACCACAAACTACTGTGGGCCAAGGACAAATGAGCATATAACAAAGAGATACAAAACGCTCATGGACCACATGGACACCAGGGTTTTAAACATTGCATGAATGTTAGAGGCACCAAGGTGCAGGACTGTGCTAACCCCTTGAATGCATTGAGCCTTTCTGCTCAAAAGCCCTGGAGTTTGGTGCTGTGATTCAAAATTAACATAAGAGGTATAACTAAAAGTGAACATTTTTGGCAAATCATATTACTTCAAAAGAGAGAGCAAGAAGCACAGTGCTAGGTGTAAAGTGCTTTACTAAAGTCATATCAAGTCAAGATGGATCCTGATTGGTTGCCATGAGTACTAGGGATGCACCAATACTGACACTAGTATCAGTATCGGTGCCGAGCATTTGGGCAAGTACTCGTACCCGCCCAAATGCTCCGATGCCTAGCCCGATACCCGAGCTTCCGGTATCAGGAAGCTGGGCAGCGAGTCACTAACCGCCCCCGGCTTTCTGATTGGCCAGAAAGCCGGCTTCATCTGGTGGCGAGGGAGCATGGAGCCGGCTACCCGGGCAATGAGGAAGCCAGGCGCAGTGTAATGACTCATTGCCTGGCTTCCTGATTGGCCAGCTTCTCGACCAATCAGGAAGCCGGGCAACGAGTCATTACACACCTGGTAACAAGGGAGCATGGAGACGGCTTCCCTGCTTATTGGGAAGCTGGGTGGCGATTCTTACATGCCGCCCCTTCTGGTATCGGTATTCGGTATCGGCGAGAACCGGAAAAAAAATATCGATACTCGTACTCAATACTGAAAAACCGTCATCGATGCATCCCTAATGAGTACTGTAATTGGCGCACAGTGCTCTGCTCCTTGGACTTTTTTTCTAAGTAGGCCAATCTGTATATACGTATTTTTTTAACCCAGATGGATTTGATTGATGAGACACCAGGTATATTATTTATATCACAGGTTTCCAACGGCTGATAAACTACCTTGTAATATAAGAAACACATGCATCCCCGCTCTTACAGACCAGGAATATCTCCCTATAAAACTTGGCTGAATGGCTGCCAAAAGCCTTTTTTACGGGCACCTGGGCCCTTTCTTATGGGAAAATCTGTTTACAGTATTAAGGGCTCTTACCACTTCCAGGAATAGGACACACACATCAAAGTTGGGATTCTTTTTGACGTTTTTAATAACGCAGGACTGGATCATTTCATCGCCACACTCTATGATCAGGCTGGGTGACGTCACGCTGGCCAGCTGGAAGCTCTTAAGGTTGCGCAGACCCCATGCCAACACCTGCAGTGACAGACAGCGGGCAAGAGATTGTGTTGAAAGGGATTGATTTAAGAGATGGCACGTCCTCCACATTGGCCAAATGATGTCAGAATTGGTAAAAGTAGAACAATATGTGATTGAATAAAGAATATTACATTTCAGAACTAGGTACAGATTCACACACACTATTCGATAATAAAAGCTGCACAGACCTGAGTTATAAAATTAATTTCTAGAGATGTTCACGGCTCAGTTGGCATTTATTGGTGTCATGTACAAGATCATCTTAGACGTTCAGAAAGCACTATAGTACATCTTATGATGTGCTAATAATACTCAATAAAGCCTGACTTCAGCAGAGTAGCTTTGATTCACTATTATAGGTTACTGCACTTAAAGTCCAACTCCAGCAAATTTGTTTTGTGTGGAGTGTGGAAGGCCAGTAATAGCAGCTTTGTTAGGTTGCCTTGTGTGTCAGTTGACCATTGGGCTGCCTATCAGTTCTGCAGGAGGCATGCACAGAACAAAAAGGCTGCCCAACAGCCAACTGAAAGATTGCATAGGGGCTCTTCTGACCCATCAACAGGTCTCTTGGGAATCTTGGATCTTCTAACTGATGATTCAAGCCTAGAGACAGTGGTAACCAGAACTTTATAATGGGCCCGGAAAACTACCACACAGCATTGGCTATGTCCCCAAACTCCAACCACATGCCTTTTAGATAAAAAAGGTAAATCTGTATCTTGCCCTTGGGAAGCCTAACCTTTGGCCTGTAGAGGTAGCGCTTCAACATTTGAGAAGATTTGGTGCCAGAGACTAAAGGGGTTATTCATTAAAGAGCAGAAGGATCCAGCCGTAGCTTCAGCTGATCCTTCGGCTCTCTTCGGCTGCCTCTGCCCTTCGGTTAAGTCGAACCGAAGGGCTGCTGTACGGGCTATTCACAAGGGCCGGCAATTCTGCCCGCAAATGACAGCTGGGCGGACACGGCTGGCTACGCTCAGTTGTAATCACAGATCAGCGTCCCCAAATGACCTGGCAAGGCTGATAGTTCATTAAACAATGATAGAAACTGGGCGGAGCCGGCCATGACGTCATGGTCAGCTCCGCCCAGTTGTTATTCATTGGCGAGGGCCTGCTAGAAGACTTTGGCAGGTGCCGGCCAATAGGAAACAGTTAGCTGTCACTGCTAGCTCCACCCAATTAATATTTTCTTAATTTAGTTTTCTTTACTTAAATATATATATATATTTTAATTTTCTGTTTTTTTTATCATTCTTAAAATCCTTTTGCAAATTTTTTTTCACATTCTCTTCACTTGTTTTCTATTCTGCCCGGTACCTCGGAGGTACCAAGCAAAATAGCCGAGTGTCGCTCGGTGGCATTCGGCTATTCACTCACTGCCGTTTGACCCCTATGAGAATAGGGGCGAACACCAGTGAGTGAGCTGCCGGAGCTTTGGCCAAGATCTGGATCGGCTCGGTCGAACTCCTTCTGCACTTCGGCTCAGCCGAACATGCAGCGCAAGCCAGAAGTGAATAGCCGAACAGTGTTTGGCTCACTTCACTTTGGCTGGGTTATTCACTCGGCTGCCTTCGGCAGCTTTGTGAGTAACCCTGTAAATGACCCTTCACTTGTACAACCCCCCCAACCCCTACTCTAGTTATAAAAATACTTTTAGTCATTAGGATGGCTAGCCATTTGAATTCCCAGCTACATACTGTTCCTCTCGAATAAAGAATACCTTGGTGCAAGAAAGAGCACACGACAGTCTGACAACATTGCTGATCATTTTGAGGCAGCTGGGATTTTCTGTCACTTTTACTCTCAGTAACAATGGTCCCCAGGACAAACAGAGAGGGTGAATCTCCCTAATAGGGACAGACAGCAATACAAACCTGACAGGGCTTGTAATCTCTCTCTACTCCAAAACTAAACACAATTTTGGCTTCAGTTGCACTTAAAAGCCTCATGCCTCCACATAAAAATGTCCCGTATTTCCCTGCCTCGGAGCCACAGCTGCTGTGTACAGCCACCCATGGAAATCAATGGCTATATCTGGCTGTACGCGGGTCTTCTTCTCCAGCAGTTTTTCGAAATCTCGCTTTTCAATTTTGTTCACAGGGTACAGATGGACAATTTCTACTATTATGTTTTAGTTGTTTAATAAAGGTTCAAAAAGATACCAACCCATCAGGCCAGGCTTGTATCCTCATAGTAGGTTCCCTACACATGGCCAGTGAACTAATCAGTAACCTCTAAATCTTTACCATTGACTTTGCGCTGCACAGTCATGCATCACTAAGCTCATACTCACCTCAATAGCGGTTCTCTGCAGGATGGGTTTAATACCTTGCGGCACCATGTAGACATTGGCGCTCCTCTGGGGCGGAGGATAAGGCAGGTCTGAGTCATCTGCCTGCAGGGGCAAAAACACAGAGCAAAACAATAAGTGCATCTTATCTTGTTGTAGACATAGGTCAGTGTCATTGTTAAAGTATACCTGTCATGAGAAAAATCTGTGGGCTGCCACTGTTGACCCCTCCTTCTGAAAATAATGATTGCATGCCTCCCCCCCGTGTTGATATTTTAGCTTCAAAACTTTCTGAACTGCTAACACAGAACATATAGATATAGGTATAGAGATCAGAAAATGTCTGACTCATTTATTGCTTGCTTGTTCTGAGTCTTTGACTCATAAGTATTGAAGGCAGACACAGCCAAGCAAACAGCAGTTTAAGTAGCTCAAAAATGGCAGAGCCCATATTTCTTTCATGTCAGGTGTCCTTTAAATTAGATTAAAATTGGCGTATCGATGCTGGTGAATATTTTCGAAAGCATAATGCAAACAGGCGTCTACTTTCCTTTTACTGCTATGCCTTAAAACAAGTTTAATTACCCATAATCCCTGATATGTCAGTGAACAGAAACACAATGGAAGCGAGGCAGCAATTACTATGCGGCACCGGGCAGAGGTTAGGGATTTAGAACACTAAAGAACAATTCAAATTCATAAAAGGGGATATCAGCTGCATTTTAAGCAAGTGTTACAAAAGGGTGAGTCTACCCTTATTGAGTCCATGGAGTCTACACTTTACTGAGCCCATTGAGTCTACCCTTATTGAATCCATGGAGTCTACACTTTACTGAGCCCATTAAGTTTACACTTTACTGAGCCTATTAAATGTGAGGTGAGTGCTTTTCACTCACCCTCATAGTTCTAGCCGACCTGTGACAATGAAACTGTCACAGGTCGGCTCAGTAGATCGGGAAGTGAGCGAACACATACCGGCGTTCGCTCACTTCTCGATCCTGTCAAGGCTCTCTGCCGTGACAGGGGACGGGCTGGATTCCCCCCTCCCCTCTCCGATCCTCCAGCGCGAACTGGCGGAACGGACGGGGGAGGGGGCGGGTACAGCTGGCTCTGTCTCTAGATAGGCAGAGCCAGCTGTCACTCACGCAGCTGGGCGGATCCAGGCATAACTGTTGGGATCCACTTCAGCTGCGGCACCTCAGTATACTGCGAGCTGTGGCTCTCGGTATACTGAGCTCAGGGTGACGGGAGGACGCTAGTTTGTGTCCTCCTGTTACCCTAAGGAGAAGTATGAGGAAAAGCCCTAGCCCCATAGTTCTCCTTTAAGTCTACACTTTACTGAGCCCATTAAGTCTACACTTAATTTTGCTCCTGACTTACAACGCGGGCAACCAAGAGCAGTTTACCAGCTCCAGAGACAACTACTGACCTGTATCTTTTTGCAAGGCAGAAGAAAAAAAAATGGCAGCTAGCAGCTAAGACGAACAGAGAGGAAGATTCGGGTCGGGTTAGACTAATTTAGCATCATAAAATAATAACTATAGTATACCCAGTCTAGAAGTTTCTCGGTGTAGAAACCTGGAACAAGAAGCTGAGCCATTTTCCAAAGAGGAAAGAGCGGAAAGAGAAAGCGAGGAGAGAAAACATAGACAGTTTTAGTGTAATTCCGCGTCTAAGTGAGTTTCTAGGAATAAATACACTATAAACACAACCTCATTTTCACAATGAATCCTCTACATATTTATTTTTTATATCTTATAGATTACATACTTTGAATTCTCTCTTTTAAAAATAATGACTATTTATTCAACCACAATCAACTATATTTTTTATAATTTGCTGACTCATCAAATATCTCCTCTTTCCTTTCTCCCCAGCATTCCCTTTCAGTAGTTCCAACTCAAGTAGAAGACAGATTGGGGAACAAGGTATTCTCCTACTTTACTCCAAGAGCCAAAAATATATTCTGGCTCCTGAATTGAAAAACAATATGCGCATCAAAGTAGTGCAACCCATGTCAACACACATCAATTTAGGTTGCTATGGTCAAGTGGTGTGAAGGGGCCTCAAACATCATTTGAGAATCCACACACCACACAATTGGTTGGAATTTTCTGATCAGTCATATAACTCTTGTCTTAGATTGATTTAGTACAATCATGTACAATCCAATCAAAATTGTAGTGTAAAAAAAAAGGACGATGATTTACTAACATTTATCGGGATATGGAAACAGTAACTATATCTATGGGAGCTTTAGGTCACAGCACACATTGGCCTCTAAGTTAGGGGTAATATTTGATTGACAGGGTTGATTTCCCCAGTTCCCAGTATTGTCTCCTAACATTCACTGTACAAGTGCCTAGTTTGCATCATACCTGTCCATGAAATAAAAGAGGGTGTCCATGGAGTCAGGAATATGGGAAAAATCACTGACTGAGTTTTGAATGTGCATGGGTGTCATCATCTAATGATTCTCATACAGTCAGTGATTCTGTATTAAGGATTAAATACCAATGTAAGGAGGAGGTTGGCAGCCCAAGAAATAAACTTTCAAAAACAAGTTGGCAATGGTAGCTCCATATTTCTGCCCTGAAGATTCTAACAAAAAAAACCTCAAAAACCTTAAAAATCTCACAGGACGTAATCTTGATATTGGTGGGAAGTCAAAGCCCCATGCACAGTCTGGGCCTAGTACAGTATCTACCAAAGTCTCAGGGACAAGGGATGGAATTGAAGAGTAACACAAGTACTACCTGGCACTGCCAGGTACTGCAGTACTGATGGTACCTTAGGCACTTTTAGGTCAGGTTGACTTAAACCCTACATATTCTTCCCTTCCCCAACCATTGCCAGACAAAGTTGGATACTCTAGTAGGTGAGGTTACTTTAACCCTATATATTCTTCTCTCACCATTGTCAGACACAGTACATTGCTCTACTAGGTGAGGTTGACTTTAACCCTACATATTTTTCTCCTACCAGTGCCACATTACAATGCATTACTAGTGCGGGTAAAATATATAGGGAAATATCACAAAGGTATATAGGCCTTTCTAAGCTTGCAGACAAAGATAGCAGACAGAATAAGAATAGTATAGCATGGGTTAGGTCACCATAAGCAGTGAGCCATGCTGGCATGCAAATCCAGGCTGGTACAAATGTGAGGGTTGACATGCTTCAGTGGCCAAAAATGCCTTCAAATGTCTACACACACCTCTAAGGAAATATTCTAATACTCAGTAACCAATGTCTACTAAAGGCCTTGAGAATGCTGGAAATTCCCCTGTTGCACAGAAACACATTTATGTCCTCCTGTGACCTTAAAGAGAACTATAGCCAAAAAATCAAATGAGACGAAGCAGAAGGGGGAACTTTACTCAAGGTGCCATGAGACATCAACTGACTGAATGATGAGCAAGTTCAAGCAATAGTGATCATCCAAAAGAGAACCCCTCCATGGATAGTAAGGGTCCAAGATCCAGTCAAACTACCACCGGCAATGTAATCTACTGCATCCTCATCCTGTCCTTTTTAAGGTGTTGCAGGCAGAAGATCCAGGAGGGGCGGAAAGCAACAGAGAGCCCATCAGCAACAGACGATATAGAGGAAGGAGAGTCTGGTAATGAATCTCTCAACCAGGATACTGGGGGAAGGTGAGATTCAGCTTTTACAAAGAGGCTCGTTGTTTTGTCCCACAGTCAAGTTTAGTGACTTTCAATTTGAGGTAGAGACATTCAAACTCAAACAACGTTACATAGTAGTTAAGGTTGAATAAAGACACAGGTCCATCGAGTTCAACCTTTGGGTATTGTGTGTGTGTCTGTGTATTTGTTGTTACTAAGATTATCTGTACCTCTGTATGTCTTGTGCACTGAGAAAAGTATCTAGACGGCTCTTGAATGGTGCTATAGTCTCAGCTGAAACAACTGTCTGTGGAAGGGAGTTCCACAATTTTACAGCTCTCACAGTAAACAATGGCAACAATCTCACACCGTAAAGTAAGTATGGATGTCCGATGGTTGGCAAGTACTATTGAACAGGGAAGATGGTATTAGAGCTCCAGACATAGGGAGGATCATCCAAGATGACTATGTCTATCCATATTGGGTATGTGCATAGAGCCCACCATGCAGTAGGGTAAAAAGAGGGACACCCCGTGCAGAAACACGTCGCGTGTGCTCTAACGTGTTTCTTCCTTCATACGGACTTCCTCAGAGAAGTGTGGCCATCCGTGTTATCACCACAAGCACCACCATCCCATAAGGTTGCAACACTGTATGGAGTGAAGGTGATTCATGATGCTATTGCAAAGCTTCCCAAAAGAGGCTCTGTCTGCTGCCATGTTGTCAAGGGCACGGTATGAAATATAAAAAGCAGATACCATTTTGTGCAGGCTTCACTTTGTATGCAGATGGAGGTAAGATACTGTAAAGGTGACACAAATGTTTACTTGAAGAAATAGGAATGTTACATAAATGTTGTTTTATGAATGTAAAGAGATCACTTGTGAATCAATTTGTAAGGGCAAGATAAGGGAGTCAAGAATATGGATGTATGAGATCGTTTGTAACTTAAAAGTTTGTAGACTAGCTGTCAATGAGAGGAGGTTAATGTAGCGCTCCTTCCCTCCCTTTCTTTCCTTTCATCTTTACATAGTTACACACCCCGGTCTAACAACACAAGGAGCTGCACAACGGCCACAACATAGTACAAACACATCCCCAGGAGTGCGCTACCAATCAGTCTTCTTTTTCAACTTTCCAATGAGAGGAGGTTAGCCTTCCCTCCTAGTTTACAACAACCATGACTGTCTATGGGAATGGCAGTAACTTTGTTGCTGTATAATGACAACGACCTATATGTAGGGATGTGGCTGACCAGAACTACTGCTGGGTGCAGACATCTTTATTCCCCAGGAGTCTGTAGTATTATCTAATACCCCCTGTCTCAGTGTTTTTGCTAGGTGTGGGTGAACTTGATATCGTCTCCAGTGATAAAATGGCTCCCACCACAGCAGCTTATGCTCTTACCTCACTGAGAACACCAGAGACGTCACCCTGTTGGAAAGAAAGTATCTAATGAGACACATCACATAATGAGCAAACAGCAATGGTTGACCATTATCAACAGGCTGGAGTGACAATTGGAATGTTTATGGAAGCCATCTGACATCCTTTAGATTCTTGTCTCTATGGAGTCAGTGGGTACAGGCTTATGCTCAAAGTACCATTTCTGAATAAGTACCAAGGCAGTGTAGTCCACCTTTTATCATCTTCTCATCATCTTCTCTGCTCCTTCACAATTAACTGCTGCTGCTTTTAAACATCCATATTGACATTTTCCATGCTGTATATGAATGAAAACTGACATCCTGTTAGCAAATGCTCTTAAACAACTGTCAAACTTGTCTCTTGTCTTTACAAACTTGTATTTTTAGATAGATGTATCTCCTGTTGTCTTGCCCAATCAAAGAGCTGATATTTATTTCTAGGAATGTGGCCTGTCTCTGTGGCTGGTCTTGTGAAAATGTGACCTTTCATTCATGTGGCTCCCAGGCGCAGGCCTAAGTACCATTTCTGAGCAGGTACTAAGGCAGTTTAACAAGGCTGGTCAACTATAGGGCTGCAGCTAATGATTATTTTCATAATCGATTAGTTGGACGATTATTTTTTTAATTAATCGGATAAAAAAATTAAATAAATACCCTCCTTCATAAATTAAAATACACAACTGAAGTGTTACAAAGTTTACTTTAGAATACAACTGCATGCACAGGTTTTTGCAATTGCACTGCACTGGAAAGCAAGGCATTGCGGTACCGTGCGTTCCAGTGCGGGTAATCACACTGTGGGTGGGAGGCGAGTTTGGGGTGCCATTGAAATAAATGGCACTGCAAACCACCTCCCGCAGCAGAATTTGTCAAGCCGAAACTGAAAATGACTTTTTTCCCTTTAATATTAAAAAAAAATTGTATTGTAAGCACATGGCGCTTGAATAGCTTCAACCAGCCTGCTATTGGCCATTTTAAATTGCAATAGCCAATAGCAGGCTGGCTATTGCACCCGCCCACTGCTTGCTGTGCCCTCCTCCCAACTTGGAGCAGAGAGCTAGGGGATCCAACCAACTAATTGATAATGTGGATAGTAGACAACTATTCGCATAATCGATTAATCGATTAGTTGGTTGAAGCCCTACTCAACTATACTCCCGCCCTCTCCCTATTACTGCAATCATTGCCTTATGCTCATTATTAACTCACATGCCAACATAACCTCATGGATAATGGGGCATGTGCCCTCATATTAATCTCCCTCCCATACTTCCTTCCTTCTGCGTTACCTAACTTCTCAGAATATCTCCCCTTATCCTGACCCTCTGCTATCTATTACCCTTGCACCCAGCACCTTCCTTCCTCAGGCAGCAGCTGCCTGAGGAAGGCCATTTCAGAAGGCATGTAGGGGGGAACGGGTTTTTTGAGGGGGAAAAAAATTAGACTGTGCAGATTGCACAGTCTAATTTTTTTCCCCCTCAAAAAACCCGTTCCCCCCTACATGCCTTCTGAAATGGCCTCTATGTCTGGAACAAGCTCACCACTGTCCATGATATTTTTATCTCCAACTCTGTTAACCTTCTTGTTGTTACTGAAATCTGGCTTAGAGAATCTGTCTTTGCTGCTGCCCTCTACCTTGGTGGCCTCTACTGGGCTTATCCACCCAGACCCAGAGGGGAAAGGTGAAGTTGGAAACGTCCTATCCCCACAAAGCACTTTCCAAGCACTCCCTTTACCTGCCTCTCTATCCCTCACCCTTTTTAAAACTCACTCCCTCTTTCTAAAGTATTCCCCTCTTTTCTCTGAAGATTGTGGCAATTTATTGGCCTCCTGGACTGGTGTCATGCATCCTGGGCAACTTCTCTGCCTTGCTGCCCGACCTTCTCTGCTTTGAAATACCTACTATCATTCTTGATGACTTTAACATCCCTGCTCATGCTAATACCCTGGTCACCTCTTATCGTATCAACCTAACCTCAACTTTTATCCTAACACAATGGACACACTCCAATTCACTCTGACAGCAACACCCCTGACCTTGTATTCTGCTGCCTCTGCACTCCTCCAGCTTTCCAACACCCATCTTTCTCTCTTTAATCACAATCTTCCAGCCTCATGCTTCTCCGTTCTTAATCAACGCCTATGTGTTCCCTGCATGTCTATTGCTAGCACTTAATAATGAAATCAGCAGGAACATAGTGGGTCACTCTATTCAGCAACTGAGGATGAGCAGATGTCTCCCTCGTGCTTGTACTTGTGTACAGCTTGCCTTAGTTAGGAACAAAGTCCAGTAGGGTTGAGAAATACATTGCAAAAAATTAAAGACATTTCTAATGATAAGGTCACTCACCTCCAGACCAGGTATGTGGTGCTCACTGGGCTACAACAGAGGAAAGAAAATCACATAACGCAGTTAAAGATGATAAATTGATTCATTCATGTCACAACTTTCATGCAGAATTGTTATTTTACTGTTGTAGTTAGACCGGCAACATATGTACAAAATGTAAATGTTTATCCTTCTGATAAAATGCAAGATTGCCTCTGCCCTCTTCCACCTCCCAAATATCAATGAAGGTTGCATTGGCCAATAGGGAAGCTTAGAACATAAAAAGGGATGGGGATAACCCTGACCAGTACAGGAAAGTCAAGGATCGAACAGAACTTCAGCTATCTCTATCTCTATATTTACTCAGCTTTGTGACACATGGTTTACACTGAAGGTCACCTCCACTTAATGTATTGTCATTGGTTAAAATTGCCTATGTTTGTGACCAGTTAAAGAGACCAAACGCTAACAGTGACCTCCAGGGTTTCAAGAGTTTATTTTGAAATTATTTCTACAGACATATCTATATTGCTGATCAACCTATTGCCTAGATCACCCCTACTTTAAATCCTATATACCGATGGAACAAATTCTAATATGACAAGGTCTTCACAAATATGGACAGACACAGGAGTGTTTGTCAGCTTCATGACAGTATTAAAGGTTGGTACATCCTTCTCCATGTGAGCATTGCCACTTAGCTTTTTGACACATGAATGTGTACATTTTAGTATTTGTAGGTGCCGTCCCCAGGCTGTTTTGGGAGCCAATATGTGTGGGCAGTGTGCGGGCGGGTGGCGCGTAGCTGTTCGTGTTAGACGCACTCAGCCGCCATCAGCTTCCGGACACGCCCCCCTCCGTCATTCGGTCAGCTGTTCATCCCCGTGACCACAGGTGTGCAAGTTCGAATCACATTTTAGTATTTGGACCAAGAAGTTAGGCCTGGTTCACACCTGTACGTTTTGTAGCGCGTTCAACGCTCTACGAACGCTCTACAAAACGCTCAAACATGAAAATCCCATTGTTTTCTATGGGTATGGTTCACACCTTGCCGTATTTCAGCCCGTCTGAACGCGCTACAAAATGGCCTACGCCTGAAAAGGTACATGAGCTTTTTTGCGGCATTTTTGTTGCGCGTTTCCATTGGGATACAGCCAAGTAGCCCTCGACAAACGCGCATATTCGATATGCCTAGAGCCTTAGTTAAGATTCTAAGGCAAGGCATTTGAACTAAGTCTATATTAATTGGTAGCGTTGGTGGTTTATAGTTTGAATAGTAAATTGACTACATATAATGTCGTATTAGAAACGGGGAGATTGGTGACCGCATAAATATATCGCTGCACCTGCCCTTAGGGCTAGAGCAATATGGTCTTCTCAGTACTTGGCTCCTTGTATTTGATCAATGGCCTGCATAAGTAAGAGCAATTTTTGCTGAATATTTTGGTCTGATGTATAATACTATATATAAGAAATATATATAAGAAATATCAGATAATATGTTGTATATATTTTTTTTATAGAACCACAGCTTTGTCTCAGTTCTGCTCCTGAAGAAGCGGCAATGGCCGTGAAACGCACAGAGCTGCCAGCTGTATATCCAAAGTGATCTGTATGGATAATGCTATGCTATATGCTTGACAGTTGTTATATTAAGATTATTAGAGTTTGGGTGGGACCTAAATCTGAGACAAGTGCATAGATGATGGGAGCAATGTCAAGAATTTTTTATTAAATACATGTTGGATGATGTAAAATAATAAACAAGTATTTTTCTGAACTAAAGCTGGGTGTATGGGTGCCT